GGGATTTAAGTTCCATAAAATAAAATACGATTATTCTCATCCCTCCTCTCAAATTCTGTAAATGTTTAAATAAGCTAAAACTTTTGGTGACCCTTTTCACATTCTGCCTAGACTTTGCTTTGGATGATGGGGTAAGAATAAGCAGATGAGTTGGTAGAAAATGTAATGTAGAAAGTGAACTTTATTTTTTCTTATCATGCTAGGAGAAGTAGGCAAAGTGCTCTAATCTTAAAAACTTGGGCTAGGATGATGGAACTGTAAAAGTCAATCATTTCCTCCAAGAAGTTTCAAACTTGGGTGTAATTTAAGCTAAACACAAGGATTTACCTTTTGTGAGATTATGTATGGAAGTCTAGGTTCTTGTGAAGGAAAAGTTTACTTGCTGCAGGAGATGGCAAGAGACCTCAATGCCATTCTGTCATCTGAGAGACAAAACCCTGGTCTTTCTTTGTCTTTAGGGGGCTTTAGGATTGCCAAGGTGGAGCCCTCAGGTGTACCATGTCGTGATGAGAGTTGGACTTACATGGGGCAGTATGACCCTTGACCTCCTCACGGTAACAGATGCCCAGAAACGTGCATAGTCCATTGGGCTGTGTGGTTGGTGTTGATATTGATGTCTGCTGTATATCTCTCATGGGAGCTGGGGTAGCTTCTTGAAATTTGTCTGTGGTGGCTGTTTGCCGGGACTGTATAAATCCAATATGAGCCTTGATGACGTTGTTGTTTTTACTTCATTGCCCTGTGGGCGTGACTTGAAAATCATTTTAATCATTTAAAATAATGTTGTGCTAGTTTTTACCCGCCAGGTGGAGAGTCAGAATTTAGTGTTTTTGCAGACCTGGGTACACTGGCCTGTTTTTTTCTTGGTTCCAGAGAGTTGGATTTTGGTCGCTGTCATGTGAGGGCAGAATGCTATGAATCCTACGTGTTAGTTGACTTAGAACCACTAGAGAAATGAGAATGTATCTATTGGGGCTGTCTTTGTGGAAAAAAGAAAGTAGTTGGTGACAAACATACGTTACAAAAGATTCAGTAAAAAGGTGATTTATTAAAATGCTTTATTATCCTAGTCACCTACTTTTAAAAGTCACGTGCTGTTAACTGACAATGGAAAATGTATAGCATCCTATATTGGTCCATAATCCTCAATAAGTTTAGGGTTGGCTGCGCATCACCTAAAAACCAAAATATCAGTGGCTAAAACAAAGTATACATTCATTTGTCTTTGAAAAAAAGTCTGCAGGGTTAAGAACACCACAGTGTCATCAGGGACCCAGGCTCCTATTTTTCACGGCAGCCCAGTACATGGGTTGCATCCTTAGGCTTGCCTTATGGTCTAAGATGGCTGCTGAAATGCCAGTTATTTGGTCCAAGTAACAGGCCTGAAGGGGGACAAAAAGCAGAAGCCCAGAAAAAGGTGCTCCTGACACTGAGTTGGCTCCCATGAACCTCCCAGAAGTCCAGCAAGACACATCTGCTTGCATTAATTGGCCAGAATGTAATCATATAGCCATGGCTGGCGCAGAGGAGGCTGGGAGAGGCAGGGCTTTAATCTGGGTGGCAGCGAGCCCAGCTAGTAATCAGGGTCTGCTGCCAGGGGAGGCCGGTGGTGGAAGCAGCTGGCGGTCTTACCATGGCATCTTAATGTGGGACATGCATTGGGAAGAACTATAACTTCAGATATTAAGCATCATATAGCCAAACAAGGTTAGCCAGGCCTTGGGACGTGTGGCTCAGTCCCCCGATTTAACTAATGGTTTATACTACTTTACCATGTTGCATCATTAACTTAAACATCCCTTCTTAAACTACTTGCAGAAAACCTTGGCTATATAATTGGATTTGTGTCTCACTCCATCCACTGGGGAAAACCAGCGACTTGATGGTTAGCAAAGGTGTCAGTGAAAGATGGTCTTTTAGTGGAAAGATTGCCCTTTTGGGGGTAAGGAGATGGATTTCTGGATTTTGGCTTACAGGCATTTGGCAGAATAGCAGTTTAATAGCGGTCATTCAAGCTTACATTAGTGTAAAAATGAGATCATAGGAAAAAGCTTTGGACATTGAAAAGCCTTGCCCAAAGTGAAGGTTGTGTTATTACTTTTATTATTAAATCACTTCTTTTCTCCTCTTAGAAAACACAGAAAAACATAGAGGTAAAGCAGTTTTTCCAGTTTTTGCATTTATGTGTGTTTTTTACCCAGAATCATACACAGGAAATCCTAATAACCGTGTAGTATGCTTTCATGCTGCCCTCCTTGTCAGCGGGTCGTGACTTGTTACGTAAACAAATATTCTTCCACCACAAGGTATTTAAAGGTTGCACAGTCTTCTGCTACTTAGATATGCTGTATTAGCTAAACCAAACCCTTAATAATAACAGTAACAATAATAATATAACTGATGTGATTGGGGCACCTGGGTGGCTCAG